AACTGTGAATTGATGAAACCTTGTCGCTATTCTAGTACTGCGCTTAAATTTATAAAGTCTACGTATCATAGTGAAGAGCTCATCTAAACAATTACCATGAAAGTATTTATAGAAAAGGCACAGGGAAGCAACTTTAAGATGGTGAGAAAATAACTGAAGTTGAGACGCCAGGTCAGGACTAATAATATTGCTGATTCTTTAGATTTTATCAAGAATCTTTAAATATATAGCAGGAGCACCGGACCGTATGCAGCAACAATATTCTAAGCATGGACTTATATATGTGTGAGAAAAATTATCTAGTAGCTGACTTCGCATTAGATTCAATAGTCTTTCCACTTCATAAATTAATTAGGTAATAATTTTTAGATTAATAATAGAGATTTTTATGATTACTTAATGAATAAACACGCATTTAAAATTTGTTAAAAAAATTATTTTATTTTATGCTTAAAATAACCGTCTTACTTATCTGCCCATAGTTCTCAGTGAAATTTTGAGCGAATATTAAAGACTAAATGGATTTTTGTCATCTGCGTAAAATTATTTTAAAGAGTTTACCTAGTTTGCTCTATCACAGTGTTGGAATTTTCGCTTCCCAGCTTCATAGACATCTTGGAACATTGCGTTATTGTCATAACAAAGAGAATGACACCAGGTGTCGCCAGTGCAAGGGAGATAAATCTATTACGGCAAAATACATTCAAATACAGAAGGCGTGATATAAATGGGAGAAAATCATATAAATTGTTAGGTGTGTGTGTTGTGTATATATATATATATATATATATATATGTTTGCGTTTGTATGGAAAAATGATTATATATACATATGTTTGTGTGTGTGGTCTCCTCGTGGTGGTGAAATAGCAAGCTTGTCTCGCTAGAACAATTACGACTGAGTAGTGAGTTCGATCCTCACTGGGTGCTTTTTAATTTCGACATTGTGCCACGTCTAATGTACACTTGGAAAATCATTGTGTGTGTGTGTATTGGAAAAATGTGTGGGAAAATGACCATTTTCATATATATATATATATATATATATATATACACACACCAAACCAATGTTAGCAAATTAAAGACAACTAGGAAAAACCCTTTCATTTGAACCATTTCATCCTTTAAGACTTCATCGAACGAATTTGATGTTTACGTTGATATAACTCGACGTGCACACAAAGGAAAGGTGAACACTGAATAAAGTTTTAAACCTTTAAATTAATTTTTAATTTATAAAGAACTTTTGATATATATTCTAGCCAATTTCATTTAGATAACGTAATATCGGTTCCCTCACTCTGTCACAAATTCGTCAAGATAGAATTAAACAAAAAAGATGAAATATTTTAATTTCAAAACGTCACTTGAAGTTTAAGCACGAATTTCTCTTGAATAGATCGAAATATAATTTAACTGCTCACTCAAAACAACTGCCTTTATCAAAAAAAGATAAATATCGATCAAATCAGTCTCCGTGTCGCATTCTATTTTTCTTTCTCTATGGCTCTTTCTTTTTATGTCCCTTCCTCTTTCCGTTTTTATCTCAGCATCTGTGATAGCATGCTTGACACACATCATTAACAGTTCCAAGCGTAATAATATATAAATTGAATCATTCTGTATATAATGTGTGTGTGATGAAACGGCATCTATTAATTAAAAGGCTTTTATGCAATTAATGTCGGATTTAGAATTAAAATGTAAAATTTCTGTCCGTACTCTGTGTAAGCTGAACATTTCCGCTAAACTTGTTTTCACTGATATATGAGGAGTCACATCGTGTGTGTGTGTGTGTGTGTGTGAGAAAGAGAGAAAGATAGAAAGAGAGAGAAGACCGAGAGAAAGATCGAGACCGGCCCTAGATACAGATATTCATAACGAAGAAGTACAATTGACAAGTTTTGTTAGCATATATTAACGGGGGAATTAAGAAATGACGCTGACCCTACAATTAAAAAAAAATTTAGCTCAATGTAGCAATACTGTTCGATAGTCGTACGCGGAATGGTACTTGTTACGTCCAAAGACAATGACAACGACATCTAAATGACATTTCAACAGGTAGATGAACATAGCGCTCCTGAGCTTCTTTCTACGCAGTTCTGCCATCCAATGCTAAAGAGTTCATCCCTCTGATATTTAACCCATACATGTGGGAGCTTTAAACACGGCTCAACTATTAAATTTTTGCGCCGGTGTCCCCCGTTCGTGTGTAAGGCTAAAAACAAAATCCCGGAACTCGTAACTGTTAAAGAGTTACTTAGACAATGTGGGTGCGTTTAAATAGATTTCCTATTGTTACTTCCGGTAGGGAAATTCATTCTCAGACACACATGCGTACATACATACATACATAGTCATCCACATACAAGCTTGATTCGCTGTATCACATCTCATCAGTGTGGCTAGACATCCGATTGCTTCAAGCCGGGATCGAAATCAATCAGAGATCCTACCTCTAAGCTATCGGCGCACGACAGAGAAAGGGAAATTTTAACGTATTATATTCAGATGTCTACAAACACCTGCAGCCAGAGGGCTCAATTCATTCATGAAGAGCGGTGCCTTAACAGCGACGGCTGCTACTGTTTTGAAATTGCCCTTTTTTTTAACATGGAATCAAAAGAGTTCCACAAGTGAGAAATGCAATAGAAGAAACTGTTAGCATAGAACTTACGGCTATATCTCGCCATTTCAACTGTAAAATGATGAAACTTTACCGCCAATCTAGAACTGCACTTGAATTCGTAAAGTCTTGACATCACAGAGAAAAGTAATATTTATTTTGTGTAATAATACAAAAACCTGGGAATTTTACAGCTGGTCGTAAATCCAGAATATTCAGACAGCTAAGTCGTTAAGTGAGAATTGGCTGGCTACCCAACAGCAACAGTTGTAATTGTCTGCGAGTTGAACTAGCAAATCCTTACGATGATGCATCTTGTTGTTGACGTTGCTGATGTTGTTGTAACATTTTTCGCATACATTTACCAATATGCATTTGGTTTCTGTGAAACCTGCAACTTTTAACTCGCTTCTTCCGCATTCCAAAACACAATATTGCCTGGCCTTGCAGTGTGTTTATATAGTAAACAGTTAATAACGTTTGACGTAAATCTCTGGGTGGCACAAGGCCAAAATGTGGGGAGAAGGCTGGTTTTCAATCTGTCTTAACTTAAACTTAGCTAGCCACAAACATTGACCCAAACAAACTACAGGATTCCTTGCACCAAAAACAACACATTCTTATGATAGCCACTGCAATACTTCAGAGTCTCTATGAACTCCTAACTTAAAGAAAAGAAAAAGTTTTTTTATAACAATTACCTTGAAAGTATTTATAGAAAAGTCAAAGCGCTGTACAATTATGTACTCCCATAGATCTCAGCATATGGTCACATAGACAAGTATTTTGCTTACATGGAATTACAAGTCAGATATATAAATCATAATACGACAAGTTGGATTTATTAAGCAGTAACTTAAAAACCGCCCTATTTAACGGCATTTAGGCTATCTCCTGCGGAAGGCTCTTGATTAAGCCTTCATCACAGTAGAAAGGGAGAAGGAGATGCAATAGGCAACAATAAAGAGGAATTCAAAATTGATCACTGCATTTAAATATTGCATTAATATTTACAATTATTCTTCTGCCGCCAAAAAAAAAAAAATTTTACCGTACAAAAAAATTTGTTGCAAAAAATCACAAAAATTTTTGGAATTTCAGGATTGCGGGCCCAAATCCGACCTGGAATGTTTTTAATTTGCTCACAGAGTCAGTTTGATTCCAAAATGGTAAGATATGTTGAGTTATGGCCTCTAAGAATAAAGTTGGAAAAGTGTGATACAGTGACACACTGACAATCGCATTTATTATATAGAAGAAGGTAAAAACATTTATTCACTATTCATTGCATTTAGTTGTTTAACAATCCCGTGAAAAATGATAATATATTTTGTTGAGGCCTTACGATTATTAAAAGGTTTTCACATGTAAGTATTTCAATATATTTTCCCAATAGTTTTTTGGTATGCATCATTTCCACCCCCCACCATGGAACAAACTAGGGGACCATTGTCTTTCACTTCTTTACCATTTTTTAAGGCCATATCATGTTGATACACCGATTTCCGTACGATCACCAAAGTTAAGCAACGTTGAGTCTGGTCAGTACCTAGATGGGTGACCGCCTGGGAATATCAGGTGCTGTAAACGTGAATGTGCTGGTGTAATGGATAATAGCTTTGAACTATTAATCAGAGAGCAGAGTTCGAATTCCAGTTGGGTTCATTATATTTACTTACGCGTAAATACCATTGGGAAATGTATGAATCCACATATTCTCCCCTAGCTATGGGTTAATCAGTAAGACTTTTATCACTAAATCATTATTATCTCCAAAAAATTTTTTACAATCTAAAAATATTTTTTCTGCCTTAAGATAACATAGAAAGGGTTGATAAGCCATAGGAAACAAATCAATCAATCAAGGTGTCGAGATATATACGTGTGTGTGTGTGTATTCATGTCTGTGTACATGTATATATGTATATATCGAACAGACGGGGCTTGTAAATCCAAGATGGTAGCTCGTCTAAGTGAAATCTTTTTTCTATGTGCCGTGTCCCGTGTCAGGACGTTGGCGATCGTGATTCTCTAACAACTGTTGTCCTCCTCTTTATTGTCATATTCACAACGTTTCGGCCAATGTGCGTTCCAGCCTTCTTCAGATGATATACGTTGGAATTTCGAACCGAACCATTTATTTTGTTCACTGGGGTAGATTGATCTAGTTCTACGTATCATGTCTTTCTTGGATGTCTCAGTTTTAGTTATCTCCCTTTTAGTAACTCTTCAATTTTTTTTGTTTTTTTGTTGAACAATGTTTTGGGTTATGTCATTGAAGTCATTAGATTACTTCAACCAATGCCTTTATCCACGTGGATATGTGTCCTTGGGAACGAAATAAAGGGTTTAAAATTCCAATGTTTATCACAGGATGAAGGCCTGAGCGTACAACGACCGAAACGTCGTGAATATGACAATAAAGATGAGGACAATTTTCCGAACATTGTAAATAGTATAAGTAAATTTTTGTTTATTTTTCATTTTATTTCTTTATTTTCAGTCATTTTGAAGAAAAATTAATCAAAGTTTTTGTACAGAGTACAATATTGACTGGTTGGATTTTTTTTTTTTATCTAATGGGAATTTTACAGCTGGTCGTAAATACAGAATATTCAGACAGCTAAGTCGTTAAGTGAGAATTGGCTGGCTACCCAAATGCAACAGTTGTAATTGTCTGCGAGTTGAACTAGCAAATCCCTACGATGATGCATCTTGTTGCTGATGTTGTTGTAACATTTTTCGCATACATTTACCAATATGCATTTGGTTTCTGTGAAACTTGCAACTTTTAACTTGCTTCTCCCGCATTCCAAAACACAACATTGCCTGGCCTTGCAGTGTGTTTATATAGTAAACAGCTAATAACGTTTGACGTAAATCTCTGGGTTAAAAATAGTCCGGTTTGTTTCATTGTTTACGCTTGCAGATTCAAAAAGTGTACGTCGTGCAAATAAATTCACTCATGGATACGGTTGAAAGAAACGCTAAACTATAAATTGCATATTCGCACACACAGTGTGGATTTGTGAATTTTCTCAGAGTTTATGATTATTTGATATTCGTGTTGAATAGTTTTATTTAATTCTATCTCTTCTTCTTTGTGCCGTGTCCCCCAGGCGATCATGGCTCTCCACAATTTCCTATCCTTTGCAGCTCTAAATATATTCTGTCTTTTCTTTATTTCTAAATCCTTTTCTGCCATTCATTATCTCAAGCTCACTAAATAGGTCATGCGCCGTTTTCCTCTGTCCCTCTTTCTCTCAATCTGCCTTGTGAGTATCAGATTTTCCAAGACCTCCTTCCTCATTACGTGCTCCAGAAATTTTAATTTTCTCTTATATATACGTTTTCTTTTTGTTTCAATTTTCTTTAAAACCTCGTCGTTGCTCACACGATCGGCTTATGATATCCTCAGCATTTTTCTGTAGAGCTACATTTCCGTTGCTTCAAATCTCTTCATCTTTGAGGAAATTGTCCAACATTGTTATTTATTGTTTACATTAAAAAAACCTCATAGATTGCATTTTTATTAGATGATATTTTTAAGTAAAACCCAACGAGGATACATCTACGGCCCTCAAGAGGGGATAAGGGGGTCTGCAACCATCCTTGTGCTTTATTTAAAATGAACAGGAAACTAAATTTGTCCTCTTGGCCTCAGTCTATGACAATGTTATTGTTGAAACTTGGATAAGCATGGAATAATAATAATACAACACAAAATGTACGTAAACAAAATGTATTGAAACAAGAAAAAGGTACACAATATTTACAGTTAGTTTTGGTATATTCTTGGGAAGACTGTTCCTGCAGAATGGGTTGACTAAATCGCAGTCGGGCAGAGTCTCTCGATTCGATCTCTTCTTACTCCCCCCGTCTTCCGGTACCAACCCATATTTATATGGTCGGTACTCCACTTATGTAAATTAGGTGTATCGTACCACAACAGTTATTGAGCTAAGCTGTCTAAAATTTGTCAAATCTTTTTTATTTATTATTATTTGGTCGAGCTATCTCGGACAATCATGAGTCTATTACATCAACCATCAAGGTCCTGCATCAAGGTCGGAAGGTCATTACGTGGCTGCTGGGCAATCAACTAGTCTTGTTCCATGGCTAGGGTGTCTAGACCAGTCGATCATTCACGAGGTTTTGTTTTGCTCGCCACCAGTGTCTTGCAAAGCACATTCTTCGTTAGCGTAAGATTATAGAAATATCAGCGATGGGTCCATAGAGATGTGATTTACTTGGATATAGATCTCAGCATCTGACTGTAGGTTCCATCAAGCTTAGACTCTAGGGTTTTAGTTAATGTCCAAGCAGTTGCACCATAGATTAACACCGCCTCTACAGTGGCTCGAAAGAATCCCTGATTGAGTTTGTCTTGTTGATCAGATTTTCAGATTGCATCCATTTTATTCAACGTGACCCGGATTTTAGCTTTGCAAATTTTCACATCTTTTTCAGTAGAATTTATCTCGATTCCTAGGTATTTAAAAAATCGACAGGTATTATTGAATCAATTGAGACAATTTGTAATGAACCTTGCTAGTTGAAGCCCATAAATTCAGTTTTGGGGACAATATAGTCCAAAATAAAATCATCATTACTTAATCTCCCAACCTCTAAAACATTAACTTTTAAAACTTTTATATAAGTCTGTACGAGGGAAAATCTACAGGTCTCATTTGAGAATATGAATAAAAGTAAAAATAAATAAATGTAACTAAAAATTTAAAAAAGGATTTAAAATCAAAATGTGTACGGAAGGGTATTCTTTTATGTGCCGCGTTTTTTTAGGACGTCGAAGATTATGGCTCTCCATAGTTTCTTGTCTTTTGTAGCTCTTAATAACTTTTGTCGTTTTTGCCATCTCTCCCAAACCATGCTCTGCCACCCATTCACTCAAATTCGCCTGTTTAGTTGTGCGTTCCTTTCCTCCGGCCATCTTCAGTCTGTCCTGTGAGTATCAAATTTTCCAAGCCGTCTTTCCTCATTATGTGCTCTAGTAATATATACCCAAGAAAAAAAGTTTCATTTTATAAAATGATCAGATAAAATAAATATAGCCAGTGTGAACCGGCGAGTCATCATCGATGAGGTAGCATGTTTGCTGCAGATTCAGATCACTGCACACTGCTAGCGGAGCGGCCATGTTTACACTGCAAGGGCAGCAAGAAAACGTGACCACAATAGTACCAAGTATAAGCACGCAAGAGCAGAAGGCAGTGTAACAAAAGTAAAGATATGGCGAAAGTGCGGATCATTTTGGACTTACCCTTATAAATTTAGGAACCTAACATTTATTTTATTTCCTTTCTTTTTATAAAATCTAAAATAATTAAAATATTATTTTATAATTTTGTCTAAAATTAAAGCGAAAATATACATAAAAAACTTTTGTTTCCAAAAACGAATTTTCTCGTTTTTTATCCATTTGGCGAACATGTTCATGGAACCTTTTCCCGCCGTTTATGAATTAATGACGGTTGACACTTTATTGCCAAAGTTTCGATCGTTTTACTAACGCATTGGAAAAGTAAAGACTTCCTTTTTATTTTTGGGGTTAAAAGGTCGATCAGTGATTTGCTGTATGACAACGTCTGTTCTCAAGCGGCAAATGCAAATTTGTTACCAACAGACGATTGTTTTATATAAAACTGTCTAATTAACGGTTGCATTAAGATAAGAAAAAATTACTGAAGAATTTCACTGAATCAAACTTTTTATGATTTAAAAGATGTTAGCAAAAAATATAATCTGTTAACTTGTAGTTCAATTTTCCAGTTTTCCGATTTTTGCTTTTAATCTGAACTAAATTTGACCGGAAAGATTTTTTTATTACTTGTTTATTTTTCTATCAATCCATTACTCTTCGGAGCAGGTGTTACAATACGTTAACCAATAGTGTTTTGTTGAGCTGTTACCACGTGATCTAATTCTGTGATCAGCGGTATCATATGAGCTGACCAAAAGTAAATATACGTTGGACAATCGGATTTAGACACACACACTTGATTATTAGGAAGCCTCGTTATGGCGTAATGCTTAATCTATTGCTGCTGCAGATCACATCCGGTTTGCGTAGTAAAATTTGATACTAACACGCGGACATCCACTGAGTATTTTTAGTCAAAATTAATCTACTGTTAATATTTGCTAAAAGGCTAACAATCTTGTCTCTCAGATCCTTACTACTAAGAAGGGAGTTCGATCCTCGATGAATGCCAACACTTGTTTTTTTTTTTTTTTTTTTTAATAAAATTAAATTACATAAAGTAAATATAAGTTATGGCTCTATTCGAAGGAAATGGTCTGGAATCAGGGCCGGGTGGAGACAAGTTCCAGTAGACAAGACAAGTTTACCAATGTCCATGTCCTTTAGCCGATTACATATTGTCAGCACCTGAATTTAATATGGCGTTTTTTTTTTGTGTGTGTGTGGTTTCAATGCGCTAATCCCTTTCTGTTTGTTTACATTTACCTTAAAACGTTCATAACGTTTATTGGCCCCCACCGTTTATTACTATATTTCTGAAGATGTCCAGGTACTCTACAGAAGCAATAATCTATAAACATCAACG